ATGGGCTATAGCCTTTGCTTTTTCCCCTAAAAATTGGCTCGTTTTTAAATTGCTCATAACTCGAAATATATTTGTCCGAAACAGCTCAAACTTTCTACACAGCATAAATACATCAATATTTATCAGAAAATGTAATAAAAATTTGGGTAATTTTTTTGGCCATTTTTCGGAAAAAACCATGGGCTATAGTACAGGGATTTTTCCAGATTTTGGCCTATTTTTTAAAATGGTTGTAACTTAAAAAATTGAAGTCGGAACCAGCTCAAACTTTCTACACAGCATAAGTACATCAATATGTATCAGAAAATGTAATAAAAATTGGAGGTGATTTTTAGCCATTTTTCAGAAAAAACCATGGGCTATAGTACAGGGATTTTTTCAGATTTTGGCCTATTTTTAAAAATGGCCGTAGCTTGAAAAATTTAAGTCGGAATCAACTCAAACTTTCTACACAGCATAAGTACATCAATATGTATCAGAAAATGTAATAAAAATTGGGGGTAATTTTTTGGCCATTTTTCGGAAAAAACCATGGGCTATAGTACAGGGATTTTTTCAGATTTTGGCCGATTTTTAAAAATGGCTGTAACTTGAAAAATTTAAATCGGAATCAGTTCAAACTTTCTACACAGCATAAGTACATCAATATGTATCAGAAAATGTAATAAAAATTGGAGGTGATTTTTTAGCCATTTTTGGAAAAAACCATGGGCTATAGTACAGGGATTTTTTCAGATTTTGGCCTATTTTTAAAAATGGTCGTAACTTGAAAAATTTAAGTCGGAATCAGCTCAAACTTTCTACACAGCATAAGTACATCAATATGTATCAGAAAATGTAATAAAAATTTGGGGCAATTTTTGGCCATTTTTTGGAAAAATCCATGGGCTATAGCTTTTGCTTTTTTTATCAAAAACTAAAATACATACATGTATACATAGAAATCACATTTCCTCATATCTCGCCAGGTTCTAATTGATAAGAGTCTGAAGGGATGGAAAGAAGTTGAGTACGAAGTCGTTAGAGATGCCTATGACAACTGCATCACCGTAAGACACAACTGAATTTATAAAACAATATTTAAAAATATTTAAAAATATTTATATCTTATAGGTATGCAATATGGAGAATCTAGATCCCCTTGGTATCCATACAGGTGAGTCCATTGTGGTTGCTCCATCTCAGACACTGACCAATAACGAGTATAATCTATTGAGATCCGTTGCCATTAAAACCGTACGTCACCTTGGAGTCATTGGAGAATGCAACATACAATATGCCCTGAGTCCCGACTCCAGACAGGTAAGGACACACCCACTATAAGACACGCCTATTTTTGGAGACACCCACTTATACATCACATGTACTTGTATTTTTCATTAAAATATAACATATGTAAAACCTTTATTACTAAATTTTATTTTTTATTATATTATTTATTATTTTGTGATTGGTTTTTTCTTTCTCTCTAGTATTACATCATTGAGGTGAATGCCCGTCTCTCCCGTAGCTCCGCCCTTGCTTCAAAGGCCACTGGGTACCCCCTTGCTTATGTTGCTGCTAAACTAGCTCTGGGACGCCCCCTGCCGGAACTAAGGAACTCTGTTACCACAGCAACTACGGCTTGTTTTGAACCATCCCTGGATTATGTCGTCGTGAAAGTAAGTGCTCGGATACATGTATTGCGTGCATGTTATGTTTCTAGCTTTTTTTCAATCAGCTGGTGTTTTCATTGTTTTTGTTATTATTATAGATACCACGTTGGGATCTGTCCAAGTTTACCCACGTCAGCACTGAGATTGGTAGCAGCATGAAGAGTGTTGGAGAAGTTATGGCAGTCGGAAGGAAGTGAGATCAGATTGTAAGATGTTTAAATTATTTTATGATTATTATTATTTTAAGATTTGAGGAGGCACTACAGAAAGCACTAAGGATGGTCAATGAGTCTTGCCTCGGATTTGATCCTAAATTCTTACAACTTAGAAAAGAAGTAAATCTTAATTAATTGATTATTATTAATTATATTTGTCACAGGATCTCAATCATCCGACTGACAAGCGTATTTTTACAGTAGCAGCTGCACTGGACTCTGGTTATTCCATTGACGAGTTATACCAGCTAACACGAATTGACAAATGGTTCCTTTACAAAATGAAGAATATCATTGACTGTAACAACATGCTAGGAAAACATGACCAACAGGTATAGTCAGTAATAAAGAAAGCCAAGAAATACACGTAACTTAAAGTTATTGCTTTGCTTGCTTAGGCTTACCCCTTAATGTTTTACCTCCATTTAGTTATTGTTTTATTAATTTTTTATTTTCCAGACGCTCAATAAAGAAATGCTGTTATATTCGAAGCAGCTGGGTTTCTCCGACCGTCAGATTGCTCGTTCTATAAATTCAACAGAGCTAGCCATCAGAGGACTTCGTAAATCTCTCTCGGTCACTCCCTCCATTAAACAAATAGACACTGTTGCTGCTGAGTACCCCGCCCACACTAATTACCTATACTTGACTTATAATGGGGAAACAAATGATTTGGACTTTCCTGGTTAGTAGCACCTGTAAAATTTACTTTTATTATCATGTACTAATTTTAGCAAAAGATCTTTTATAGATACTATGCATAAATTAATAGCATCATTAATAATGTGTAGGTGGGGCTATCATGGTACTTGGGTCTGGTGTGTACAGGATTGGCAGTTCAGTTGAGTTTGATTCTTGTGCCGTGGGTTGCATCAGAGAATTAAGAAAACTAGGAAAGAAGACAATAATGGTATTAACAATAAGATAACAGCATCATATACTAATAAATTATTAATATTATCTATGCCTGTTCAGGTTAATTACAACCCAGAGACAGTCAGTACTGATTATGACGAGTGTGAGAGGTTGTATTTCGACGAGCTCTCTTTCGAGACGGTGATGGACGTATATGATCTTGAGCAGCCTGAGGGACTCATTCTATCAATGGGAGGGCAGCTACCTAATAATATAGCTATGCCTCTATACCACCAAAAGGTACGTACTACATGTAGCTGCATCTAGTGTTGTCAGGGTTTTCCACAGGGTTTTGGCATATTAGTACTGTAGCTTCTTGTCATTGAATTTTTTGAGTCTCAAAAACTTGGTCAAAGTCCCTATGTACTGTATTGTAGTACTGTCAGCTCATGAAGCATGCTTTGTGGGAAACCCTGCTTGTATCGTCATGTGATACATGTCTATATCATGTGATTGTCATGTGGTTTGTAGGTTAGGATATTAGGCACGTCTCCAGAGATGATAGACAGTGCAGAGAACAGGTACAAGTTCTCACGTTTACTGGACACAATCGGAGTACAACAACCTCGCTGGAAAGAACTAACACAGATTGAAGTAAGGAACATTAAATTCCTAATTCACAGATGAAATTGTTACCTCTAAAGTTCAGTATAAATGTATATGTCCTTATATTTTTGTCTTCTTTTTTCTCTTTCTTTCTCTTAGTCTGCTAATGAGTTTTGTGAGTCAGTCGGTTATCCTTGTCTTGTACGCCCAAGCTATGTCCTCAGTGGTAAGCACATGATAGTCACATGATTGTTGTTGATGTTGATCAGGTGCTGCTATGAATGTTGCTTATTCCAATCATGACCTCAAGTTGTACCTGAATGATGCAGTCGCTGTTTCTAAGGATCATCCTGTAGTTATTTCAAAATACATTCAAGACGCCAAGGTATAAATAATTCACATGTACATATACGAAATATTTTTAAAAGGTACATGTAATTTTATTATTATTTTATTTATAGGAAATTGATGTTGATTCTGTTGCCTGTGATGGTGTCATTGTTGCTATGGCAATCAGCGAACATGTAGAGAATGCTGGTATGCTATTGTACATGTACATGTATTTATATTTTGGTCTCTCCAGGTGTGCATTCAGGTGATGCCACGTTAGTATTACCAGCACAGGATCTTAAT